ACATAGAAAACACTAACAAGTTACTGAAAGACATAGAAAACACTAACAAATTACTGACAGACATAGAAAACACTAACAAGTTACTGACATAGAAAACACTAACAAGTTACTGAGAGACATAGAAACACTAACAAGTTACTGAGAGACATAGAAACACTAACAAATTACTGAGAGACATAGAAACACTAACAAGTTACTGACATAGAAAACACTAACAAGTTACTGACATAGACAACACTAACAAGTTACTGAGAGACATAGAAAACACTAACAAGTTACTGACATAGACAACACTAACAAGTTGCTGAGAGACATAGAAAACACTAACAAGTTACTGACATAGACAACACTAACAAGTTACTGAGAGACATAGACAACACTAACAAGTTACTGACATAGACAACACTAACAAGTTACTGAGAGACATAGAAAACACTAACAAGTTACTGACATAGACAACACTAACAAGTTACTGACATAGAAAACACTAACAAGTTACTGAGAGACATAGAAAACACTAACAAGTTACTGACATAGACAACACTAACAAGTTACTGACATAGACAACACTAACAAGTTACTGACATAGACAACACTAACAAGTTACTGACATAGACAACACTAACAAGTTACTGACATAGAAAACACTAACAAGTTACTGAGAGACATAGAAAACACTAACAAGTTACTGACATAGAAAACACTAACAAGTTAATGAGCGACATAGAAAACACTAACAAGTTAATGAGTGACATAGAAAACACTAACAAGTTACTGAGAGACATAGAAAACACTAACAAGTTACTGACATAGAAAACACTAACAAGTTACTGAGAGACATAGAAACACTAACAAGTTACTGACATAGAAAACACTAACAAGTTACTGAGAGACATAGAAACACTAACAAGTTACTGAGAGACATAGAAACACTAACAAGTTACTGACATAGAAAACACTAACAAGTTACTGAAAGACATAGAAAACACTAACAAGCTACTGAGAGACATAGAAAACACTAACAAATTACTGACAGACATAGAAAACACTAACAAATTACTGACAGACATAGAAAACACTAACAAATTACTGACAGACATAGAAAACACTAACAAATTACTGACAGACATAGAAAACACTAACAAGTTACTGACATAGAAAACACTAACAAGTTACTGAGAGACATAGAAACACTAACAAGTTACTGAGAGACATAGAAACACTAACAAGTTACTGACATAGAAAACACTAACAAGTTACTGAAAGACATAGAAAACACTAACAAGCTACTGAGAGACATAGAAAACACTAACAAATTACTGACAGACATAGAAAACACTAACAAATTACTGACAGACATAGAAAACACTAACAAATTACTGACAGACATAGAAAACACTAACAAATTACTGACAGACATAGAAAACACTAACAAGTTACTGACAGACATAGAAAACACTAACAAATTACTGACAGACATAGAAAACACTAACAAGTTACTGACATAGAAAACACTAACAAGTTACTGAGAGACATAGAAACACTAACAAGTTACTGAGAGACATAGAAACACTAACAAGTTACTGACATAGAAAACACTAACAAGTTACTGAAAGACATAGAAAACACTAACAAGCTACTGAGAGACATAGAAAACACTAACAAATTACTGACAGACATAGAAAACACTAACAAATTACTGACAGACATAGAAAACACTAACAAATTACTGACAGACATAGAAAACACTAACAAATTACTGACAGACATAGAAAACACTAACAAGTTACTGACAGACATAGAAAACACTAACAAATTACTGACAGACATAGAAAACACTAACAAGTTACTGACATAGAAAACACTAACAAGTTACTGAGAGACATAGAAAACACTAACAAGTTACTGAAAGACATAGAAAACACTAACAAATTACTGACAGACATAGAAAACACTAACAAGTTACTGACATAGAAAACACTAACAAGTTACTGAGAGACATAGAAACACTAACAAGTTACTGAGAGACATAGAAACACTAACAAATTACTGAGAGACATAGAAACACTAACAAGTTACTGACATAGAAAACACTAACAAGTTACTGACATAGACAACACTAACAAGTTACTGAGAGACATAGAAAACACTAACAAGTTACTGACATAGACAACACTAACAAGTTGCTGAGAGACATAGAAAACACTAACAAGTTACTGACATAGACAACACTAACAAGTTACTGAGAGACATAGACAACACTAACAAGTTACTGACATAGACAACACTAACAAGTTACTGAGAGACATAGAAAACACTAACAAGTTACTGACATAGACAACACTAACAAGTTACTGACATAGAAAACACTAACAAGTTACTGAGAGACATAGAAAACACTAACAAGTTACTGACATAGACAACACTAACAAGTTACTGACATAGACAACACTAACAAGTTACTGACATAGACAACACTAACAAGTTACTGACATAGACAACACTAACAAGTTACTGACATAGAAAACACTAACAAGTTACTGAGAGACATAGAAAACACTAACAAGTTACTGACATAGAAAACACTAACAAGTTAATGAGCGACATAGAAAACACTAACAAGTTAATGAGTGACATAGAAAACACTAACAAGTTACTGAGAGACATAGAAAACACTAACAAGTTACTGACATAGAAAACACTAACAAGTTACTGAGAGACATAGAAACACTAACAAGTTACTGACATAGAAAACACTAACAAGTTACTGAGAGACATAGAAACACTAACAAGTTACTGAGAGACATAGAAACACTAACAAGTTACTGACATAGAAAACACTAACAAGTTACTGAGAGACATAGAAACACTAACAAGTTACTGAGTGACATAGAAACACTAACAAGTTACTGAGAGACATAGAAACAATAACAAATTACTGAGAGACATAGAAACACTAACAAGTTACTGAAATAATTAAATGTTACAAATTCATTGTGTTGTTTTCTAAATGTTGTTGTAATTAAATGTAACAAATGTATTTTGTTGTTTACTCAAAGCAACTGTATGTAATTAATTAGAATAAATCTATTGTAATAAATGATAAAAGTTACTGAAATTAAATGTAATAAATCTCATGTAATAAATGCTAAAAGCTACTGAAATTAAATGCATCAATAAATTGACTTGATAGCTAAAAGTTACTGATGAATATAACAATCTATTTCGTTGAATTCTTAAAAGTTACTGATATTGAATGTAACACATTCCCTTGAAAGATTTCCGTTACTGATACTGAAAGTAACAATCCCCTTTTGTGTTTGACTGATGCTGAATGTAACACCCCCTCGAGTTGATTACGGTTAAGGTTAACTGGGATAAACTTGAACCGTCCTATAACCCACCCCCCCCCCCCTCCCCCCACCCACCCACACATCTCTGGAGCTGGGATGAAAAGACCTGAGCTGACTTTAAGACCGGCTTGATGATGCTGTAAAGATGGCAGTCGGCATCACGTCTGGGAGACAGCATTCGTGTCTGCTACAGTTCACACCGCTGATGGCGTTTATAGGCAGGGGAAGTAACTGGAGGATGGTCTTATGGGCAGGGGACGTAACCGGAGGATGATCTTTTCCTGAGGGGAAAACAATGAACCCGCTGTCAACTGATTGAGACGTAGGGGCGGGCTGGGATGGGGGTAAACTGTCAAACTTTGGGGAGCAGGGGGGATGTCAAACTTTGTGGTAGGGGGGGGGGGGCTGTCGAACTTTGGGGTGGGGTGGAGGGTGCAAGAGAATGGGGTGTGAAACTCTGAGGGAGGTGGTAGATCTTGGGTATGAAACAGGGCAGACAACTGTCGACCCACACCATTAATGACAGGAGTAGACAAAGGAAGGACGGCCAAAGTCTGGAGCCTTGAATGACATGGCCAAGTTCTGGAGCCTTGAATGACATGGCCAAAGTCTGGGGCCTTGAATGACATGGCCAAGTTCTGGAGCCTTGAATGACATGGCCATGGTCTGGAGCCTTGAATGACATGGCCAAAGTCTGTAGCCTTGAATGACATGGCCAAAGTCTGGAGCCTTGAATGACATGGCCAAAGTTGACAGCGTCAATGACTATAGTCAAAAAGCCAGACACCCCCCCCCCTCCCCCTTAAAATACCACGAAGTTATACATACCAATCTAAAAAAAAAAACTGTTTCTCCTAATGAAAATTACTTTCAAACATACAAACTGTTTCGTCACACTCGACCCCCCCCCCCCCAGTCACATAGCGTCACAAAATCAGGCTCCTCTCCCCCAGGAGTGTGACGTCATTTATGATGGACCACCTCATTACATAAATCCCCGCCTTACTTACCTCTATCCTCAAGTTTATTACCTTGTAAAAAATATGGCGCAAATGATTGCGTTAGTTGACCCAATTAAGTCATAAAACACTGACTATCATCTACCGCTGACCTACAAAAAACTGGGTCACATAGTTTGACCGAAAAAAAAAACTGTACCGCCTTGAAGTCTAGGCGCAAGTCGACAGACATAAAATACGTTTCAAAAACTCATAAAAATGTCTCCAACTCCTTGCATAAAAATCCTCTGTTCGATCTAAGTAATATTTTTTTTACACTTTTTGTTTCAGGGTCTGGTAGAAGAGGCGTCACTTGTGGAGGTTATTTAGTCATGATTTACCATCGTGTGCTCCAAGTATAGCGCACCGGCTAGCAGAGGTACATGTCTGCAAGCATGGCTACATCTAGCACTGTGCTAGCGTTTATTGAATCTAGCACCTCGCTAGCTTTTATTGACAGCCCTCAAGTGCCAACACAAACACTTGTCTCAGCAGACGACGGCAACCTATGAGAGGAGCACCGGAAACACGACAGCAGACAAGAAGGTTCCCCCGAGCATACTCTCAAACACCCAAAGTGTTAAAGACACGGAGAACATAATCTCTGCGAGGCAGTAAATTAGCGGCAGGAGCAGACGGGTGTAACAATATGCACTGTGCTACCACTCGGTCCTGTTTCTACCACCACACGCCTAACAGATGTAGCTATTGCAATGTCAAGGTCAATCACTTACATATCTCCAGTGAGCAGTTCATCGCCAGTGTCCGTGGCTCTACAGAGTTCACCAACAAAAGTACAAATGTTACGGCCAGAACTGATGACGTAGTCCGCACATTTACACAAGGTGGAGGCCTGTGGACATTTGAGACATTTTTTACTTTTGCCAAATACATTTGCCACCATTTTAATTACAGCTATTGCTGTTTTTACATCGTGGGTATCAACGTGTCGAAAAACTGCAGTGAAGACGGCAATAACTCTGCACACGACGGCAATATATGTGCACACGACGGCAATAACTCTGCACACGACGGCAATATATGTGCACACGACGTTATCAAAGGCAAAAACAGATGCGTCCATGACGGCAATAAATGTACCTATGGCGGCAATAATTTTTCCGACGACGGCAATTACTGTGCCCACGGCGGCAATAACTGTGCCAACGACGGCAATAACTGTGCCAACGACGGCAATAAATATGATATCTGTGGTCACCGCCAAGAGATATCCCAGATTTATATCTGTATCTGCTGCTCATACTTTACAAGCCAGCGACAGACCCGCTGTCATCCTGTTGGAGGCCACGTTGTCTGTGATGCATGCCTAGACAAGTGGCCAGGATTTTTATGTCCGGTCTGTGACAATCTGGCCATTGTTTATGGCGCTCATCTCCAGACCTGGAGCGACCAATCAGAGCTCGCCCTTCGCCGTCTGCCGGGTTTATATGGGACAGAGGGACACGGGTCTCACTACACTAGCTGGCGGCTCTACGGCTCTCATCACACGACTTGGAAGCTGTACGGCTCTCATCACACTAGCTGGCAGCTGTACGGCTCTAACGGCTCTGACCACCCACCTAGGTACCGGCTGTACGGCTCTGACCACCCACCTAGGTACCGGCTGTACGGCTCTGACCACCCACCTTGGTACCGGCCACTACCTGCAGCTTCCAGTAACTCTGTGACTCGCCGCTTCCAACACTGGACTCTTTGTGGACGTGAGATGTGGCAGAGATATGCCACATGTCATGCCACTGTCACATGTCATGTCATATGGCATATCACTGTCACATCGCATGCCACTGACACATGGCATATAACTCTCACATGGCATATCACTGTCACATGTCATGTCATGTGTCATATCACTGCCACATGGCATAACAACACCAAATGGCATGTCGTTAGAGCCACCTTGGAAGATCATACAGTTACACTATTTCTGATTACATACAATCATGTGGTGACAACGTTACTGATTGTTTACAATCATCTCTTGAATATACTCTCGTGGTTTAGTAGAGATCACATGACTCGTCTATTTATAGCATCTACAAATTTGACTACAATGATAGACCAACAAACGGATCAGATCAAAGATCATCACTCAAACAGCACTGGTAGCGATATTTTTAGAACTTTGGAGTGTTGCTCACACCTAAATACACCTCACCAACTTAAACACTTAAACACACCTCACCAACTTAAACACATAAACACACCTCACCAACTTGAACACCTAAACACACCTCACCAACTTGAACACCTACACACATCTAACCAATCTAAACACCTAAACACACCTCACCAACCTGAACACCTAAATACACCCCATCAATCTAAACACTTAAACACACCCCACCAACGCGAACACGATCACCATCAACTAACACTCAGGGAGAAAGCTAAGGAGCCGTCCATCAAATTGTGCCTGAACAGGCATCAACAACATCTTAGCTCACGCCAACAACATCCTAGCTCACGCCAACATCTTAGCTCACGTCAAGATCCTGCAGGACGTCACCAATCTCTAAGCTCCCACCTAAGCTCCCACCTGTGGGTCATGAAACGACCGCTCATACTCTGCTCACTGCGCCTCACGCTCCTAATAAACATCTTGCTCACGTTTGGATTAACTTCTGCTCAAGGATTAACTGGTGAGTTCTTTTTTAACTATTGGTCAGTCCTGATCTATATCCTTTAGATACTGGTCAGTCGTGCTCTATATCCTACATGTACTGGTCACTATATTCTCATCAAAACCTTTAGATTTAAATGTAACCGTCCTTAAAGCAGTTTTCAACATCATCCTCCCATGTAAAACCTCACCCGGCCTCTGATTATGAGGAGTATAACATGCAGGACACCATTGTTTCTTCCATACTTTTTTTCTCGGGGGGGGGGGGGCACTTAAAATTTTCGTGGGGGCGCACACTGTTAAAATTCTATATTTTCTATATAAATTCCATTTCTTTGGGGGGGGGTAGACTTTTTTTCGGTTGTTGGGGGGGGGAGGGCAGATGAGATGCCTGAAAGAAACTCTACTGGAAACTTTGATCTGTATCCGTTAGTCTCAAGTTTGGTCAACATGAAATAACATGACAGTCCTACCCCCCCCCCCCATCCCCCCCCCCCCATCCCCCCCCCCCCAGCTACCCACCAATCTAACGAACTGTGTTGATCTAATTAATGAAATACAGTCACACGATACGTTTTACAACTTGATAATCATAGAGCTAGTGTTGTCTCGGTTTTGTGGTAAAAATAGACTTATATGGCAACATAAGATATTTTCAGTCAAGAAAAGTTATTGTATTTTTTCTTGTTTTATAAGTGAACAAATCTCTCTGTGTTAATACATATTTCTGGTAGTCTAAATTTAATTTGAAAATTTCTGCGTCAAGAAATTCCTCGATCTGACTAAACTAATAAAAGCTTGGAAGCAAATAGCAGAGGTCATATTTCATGATTTGACAGCAAAAGCTTCTCTTAGAGCCCGCCATCAGATTAAACCTAAACACATCCGCCAAGAGAAGCAACTCTAACAAAAAAGCAGTCAGGGGCAGATCAGCAAAACAAAACAGGGGCACACAACTGGCAAGACTAAGCTAGATTACAAATACTCTCGCGTGCCAGATGAATTCATTTTCTTTATTGAAAAACTTTTCAATTTGGGTGCGAGGCTAGACATCGGAGTTTCCGCGGAGCACGTATATTTTCCTGGGTCGTAGCGTGCAAGGGGCAATGATACATCACATATCTGTGTATTTGTCTGCCTTAACTCCCTCTAATACCTGGACGCTCTGTTAATACCTAGACGCATTTGCATAATCTGTTCGTGTCAAAATGTTTTCAGCCTAAATAATCACGTAGGACTTATTTTTTATCAATATTTTAACTTTGGGTTTTGTTTGGATTAAAAAGAGGAAATTTATTTTTTTAATTGGAAATTTAGCGAAAATATGCGGCATATTAAATTGTTTCGGAAGGCGGGGGTGGGGGGGGGGGGCATGAAACAGCGGGCGCCTATCTGCCTGTTTTAGGCTGGTGAGGAAGGGGGGGGGGGTGTAGTGTAAAGGTAGGCGGGGGGAACACGGTTAAATCACAACAAACTTACATAATATTAGGTTCGCTGTTGTTTGTTTGTTTTTTTACTTTTTCTTCTTCCCTACATGTGTATAGCGGAGTGGATTACCCTTAAATGTATTAAGTATTATGTTATGCGACACGTATTCTGACCTCAAACAGCTCTTCTTTCTTGATGTTCTTCCATACCGTTGTTCACGTAAAAAAAACATATCTTCTGTGTCACACACACACAGCCATATCCCACACATCCATATCCCACACACCCATATCCCACACATCCCATGCACCACACATCCCATGCACCACACAGCCATATCACACACACCTAATGCCCCACACACCCATATCCCACACAGCCATATCCCACACACCCATATCCCACACACCTAATGCCCCACACACCTAATGCCCCACACATCCCATGCACCACACACCCATATCCCACACACCTAATGCCCCACACACCTAATGCCCCACACACCCATATCCCACACAGCCATATCCCACACACCTAATGCCCCACACATCCCATGCACCACACAGCCATATCCCACACACCTAATGCCCCACACACCTAATGCCCCACACACCCATATCCCACACACCCATATCCCACACACCTAATGCCCCACACACCCATATCCCACACACCCATATCCCACACACCTAATGCCCCACACACCTAATGCCCCACACACCCATATCCCACACAGCCATATCCCACACACCCATATCCCACACACCCATATCCCACACACCCATATCCCACACACCTAATGCCCCACACATCCCATGCCACACACAGCCATATCCCACACACCCATATCCCACACAGCCATATCCCACACAGCCATATCCCACACAGCCATATCCCACACACCCATACACCACACAGCCATATCCCACACACCCATATCCCACACAGCCATATCCCACACAGCCATATCCCACACACCCATATCCCACACACCCATATCCCACACAGCCATATCCCACACATCCGTACCCCACACACCCATATCCTACAAACCCCACACACCACACACCCATGCCCCACACACCCCACACACCACTGTGTCCTCTAAAATTCCCACCACTGTCTAACCAAGCGTGACTCCAGGGATGGTCCGTTAAGCATGACTGACCCAATTATCCGTGTTCATTAAGTGAATCCAGATTCATTAACCAGACTTAATGTAATAAAACCATCGTATCTGGGGCCATTAAACTCGCTCCAATGGCCTCAAGGCCCACAACCCAGCTGTTCTCTTCTCTAGCATGGGTTACCTAACTTCTGGGTGGTCAAAACGTTACATGAATTGGTAAACTTTTGCAACAGACCATCAGAATAAAAGTTTATATGAATGGGTACACTTGTGCAACAGACCATCAGAATAAAAGTTTACATGAATGGGTACACTTGTGCAACAGACCATCAGAATAAAAGTTTATACGAATTGGTAAACTTTTGCAACACATGATCAGATTAAAAGCTAAATAGAAACAAGATCAAAAGTTACAATCCCCCAAAAATATTTGCAACTGCACTCATCCGTGACGAGATTATTCTGTACAGACTTTGAAATTGTTGTTGTTAATGATTTCACTAATTGCCACATTGTATCTGCCTACAAGCACAACACACTCTCAAACCACTCGGTCGCCTAGAACTCGTGTATACATTCGTGAGTCTCTGGCGAATGGGGTTCTACGGTGTCTCCTTCATTCATTCACTGAAACCCTGTCTCTTGGTTGGTTTATCATATATCTAGATGTCGTTAAATGCCCTTCTGTATCTCGATAAACATTCTCATACGCATTCATTCACATGCATATATATATATATATATATATATATATATATATATATATATATATATATATATATATATATATATATATATATATATATATATATATATATATATATATATATATATATATATATATATATATATATATATATATATACTTTGGCAACTAAATATAAACTCTGCCAAGTATGTATGTTTCAGTGTCGAGTCTATATTTAACTGTCAAGTTTGTATTAAACTTTGTCAAGACCGTGTTAAACTTTTCCAAGTCTGTATTAAACTTACCAAGTCTGCATTTAACTTTACCAAGTCTGTATTTAACTTTACCAAGTCTGTATTAAACTTTACCAAGTCTGCTGTATTAAACTTTACCAAGTCTGCTGTATTAAACTTTACCAAGTCTGCATTAAACTTTACCAAGTCTGCATTAAACTTTACCAAGTCTGCATTTAACTTTACCAAGTCTGTATTAAACTTTACCAAGTCTGCATTAAACTTTACCAAGTCTGTATTAAACTTTACCAAGTCTCTGTTAAACTTTACCAAGTCTGTATTAAACTTTACCAAGTCTGCATTTAACTTTACCAAGTCTGTATTAAACTTTACCAAGTCTGCATTAAACTTTACCAAGTCTGTATTAAACTTTACCAAGTCTCTGTTAAACTTTACCAAGTCTGCATTAAACTTTACCAAGTCTGTATTAAACTTTACCAAGTCTGTATTAAACTTTACCAAGTCTGTATTAAACTTTACCAAGTCTCTATTAAACTTGCCAATCTCGGCTTTCTATAAATAGCCCAGACAATCCAGTTGATACATCGGATGACAAGCACCCCCTCACCCTAACCCTGACTCAGATTTTTTGCCCCCCCCCCCCCCGACCGTATTCTCTCGTCCTACCGGAAGGTCCTCTGTGTCCTCCCGTCCTCCCCGGATCATCTCCCTAGGACACCGTACCTGAAGAATGTTTAAAGCCCCGTTCGAGATGACGCCAGCGCCCGCGCCCTACGGGAGACGCCGCGGGGGGCGCGGCTCCATTCACCGGCTCGCCACCGGGCCGGACGTGTGATGCTCTTTTCCTCCCTCCCCTCCATATTTTTCTCTGTGTTTCCACAACAGCCGGCCTTTGTGTCGGCCCGGGGGTCTCCGTCCCTCCCCTGGTCCGCGCCGAGCGTCTAGTGCCCGGCCGTTGTCAAGATTTCAATATGGAAGAGAAGGCTACAAGTTAATGCCTTCCCCGTGCTTCACACACGATCCACGCTTCAGCGACCACCAGACCTGAACACGCTACAAAAAAAAAATACACCGCCCCCCTCTCTCAATAACAAGACAAGATATTAATATGTTAGGACAGAGAACTCTTGGTGGTAGGAAATGACAAAGATGAACAACCCCCTGACACTAAACTGAATCTAAACGAATGGGTCTCAACATATTTAGACCAAGTGCACTAGACGCGGTAACCCTAACCCTAAACATTCTTGACATTTTTCTCGCTATTAACCTCAAATAGACCTCACAAAAACTATTTTCTCAAACAAACTATGGCAGACACGGATAACCTCCCCTTCTCCCCCACCCCCCACCCCTCCCAGCCCACCCCCTGCTGTTTGCGACTGTTGACTGCAAACTTAGAACCGTTGACACGACCCCGTCAATGGGAGATGGTTATCTCTAGGTCACGTGGTTCCCGACTCCCCCCCCCCCCCCAAGTGCATCCCCATCCTATTTCCCATGCTGACAACTTTCTGTCA